CTGCGAAGTGATAATGCCCGCTGCGAAGTGATAATGCCCACTGAGAAGTGATAATGCCTGCTGAGTAAATCACGAGTTGGCATCTGGATACGCGACAGTTTCATTGATTCTGATTAATCAAGAGTCTGTGTGCACGCGGCTTGCCACGTACGCACCAAGTCTATATGAGGAAATTCTTTTGGACAACAAGGAATGTACCATAAAATGGACAGGGGAATTTGGGAAAATGAAAATAAATTTTAGACGGAATTGTTGGAATCTATCATACATTGACATTTTTTGACTCTCCGACTTAAAAGAGTATTATGAACGGGAATAAATATGTGCTTGGCCACTCTTAAAATAACGTTTACGACTGGCTCAGGAGACTGAACACCGTGACTAGTAATGCCCTCGCCTGCAGCTCAGGCATATGTCATGTCCATTCTCCTGAGCCGGTTTTAAATGTGTGTTTAAGACCAGCCAAGCACATTTTATTTCCTTATCATGCTTGTGTATTTGTATGGTATGGTAACCAGTTAGTAGATACCACTGAACGGTGACCAAGTGTTACCCAATAAAAAAAATTTTGTGAGTTATCCTGGATGGTATCCAAACATTCCAGTGGTGAAATACTGGTGCTAAGAAACTGACATCTGTTTCAAATAAGCTCTGACAATGCCGAACACCTTTTTTCAGTGAGGCAGCTTAGGCCCCTTCCAACTAGTCCTAATCATACAGCATGTGATAAGTCTGCTGGAATTCACAAGCTCTTTTAATCTTCCCCAAACAAAAGAGCACCTGACAACACCAACGACCTGTGGTCAGAACGGTATACTCAAATGGTAAGGCATGCACACTCCAGGCAGTCCATGATCTGAGCAGCCGGCTTCATGCATTGACAATGTGATTTTACTTGCCCAAACCCTGGCTTGTATGTTCACTGCTTCTCGGGACAGTAAGTTCCTCCTTCAACCAATCATCATGGATGAAATTGCTACAACACAATATGACATGAATATATATCACCCCCAGCTATTACACGTATATGCAGAGACAGCGCAAGACTCAGATGCATCATTCATACAAGTTTGGGCAAAGGCTATTCCTTAACCACTCGACGATCGTGCCTGGTGTCATATAGAAAAAAGTACCCACACAAGTACCAGACAAAATTCACTAACGTTGAAGTAACAGCCACATGTAAAACAGTCTTCGAGCTTCATGGCTTCCGGCAGTCAAAGCTCTGCTCTACTATGTGTGCAATAACAGATCAACGGCAATAACCAGTAAGGTTTGGTACCCAGACACAAGGGTATTTTACACTTTATTTGTGTACGCATTTTCCCTAGTGTGGGAAGGTGCCCTGCTAAATGTACAGCATGCGTTGTACATGCAAGTCTGTACATGTACATGTACGTAACGATGCAAAATATCAGTGTACACAACATAGCTGTTTACTTTTTACCACTTTTTATAAGCTTTTGTGAAGAGGAAAAAACAGATCAAAGGTAAAGTTATTGCCTTCTATTCTTGGTCACAAAAAAGACAATTTTATTTCAAGAGATGATACCGTCTATAACAACAACTACTTTATTATTATAGTTTTTTTATTATATCAGAGCTTTCGATATATTGATTTCAATGTTTAAGCGATATCGTTCATATTGATATAAAAGCAAAATCGATAATTATATTGGATGTTTTTGATATACACTGTATGGACAGACTTTTATTTTAAACTGTTGCCATTAGCTTTCCATGGCAACTAATCACACTGTTTGGGTTATCAATGGTACAACACACCAATGCTTACCATATGGTTTAAATTTACGCTACATGTAAAATGAATTGTTTCCAATACATGTACATGTGATTTTCATAATAGTGGGTTGTACATTTAACTTGTGCATAAGTATGATCTTGTAATTTAACTTAAAACGCATGAGTAAGTTGCCATTGCTCTGAAATCAATTTGAATAAAAAAATCACACAAACAACATATCTGTTGTGTAGCTTTCTTTCTTGTCTTTTTCCTGTCATTGGTGCAATCCATGCTAGACATGTACCGGTACCACTGAGCAGAACCGTTTCGATCAGTTACGCTCAATGCTGGACATGTATGAAATCACACAAATTACGTCACCCACATTATGCATGACGCAAGCGGGGCATGACACTGTTATTAATTTTCTTCAGAACAGAATATCAGAACTTATTTTTGTTGTTGTTGTACCGGGCTAAACTTTAGCTGATTTAGTGTTTTTCCCTTGTAATTTAAAGCCTTTGGTAATCCAGCTCAAACGCATCTGTAGTAAACTGCATCTGTTGTGAACTGCATCTATTGAACGAACTGCAAGTTGTTCCTGAACTATGAACGTTGCATCAGGTCACAGTAGTAAGTTTGAATCTTCTGTTTGATATGACACATGCTTTGTAATTATCAGATCATTATTGTTAAGATCATAATTTTGTTCTTAATTGAAATGGCTTTGTTGGAACAATTTTATCAGTAATGATTTATCCAGACTGCTCAGCTGGATTTAATGCACAGACACTCAAAAGTATGTCCATTTTTGTTCTTTGCAGAATTGAATGATGATTTTGATGAATTATTAAAAATAACGGTAAATCTTCATACATTAAACACCCGCTGCAACGTACTCCATTCTTCATTCATCTTGAGCCTACCACAAGTCAATTTACTGTCAAATATTGAGGCCAAGATGAATGAGAGAAAAATAAAATGCTGAACCAGCAAGACCAGGTTTACACAGCCAAAGTGTTGGAACAACACATAATGCAAGAAGATCCCACAGAAGAGCTGGCTGTGGAATTCCAGAAACTTGAAGTTGCTCTCACAGAACTTCAAGACCAACACGATGAGTACTATGACACGATAGCCGACCTTGACAAATATGAGCAAGAAGAAGAATTAATACATTCAGGTCTGTATAGATGACTTCCTGAAGTTGAAGCTGAAGTTAAACCAATTAAGGAAGGCTCAATCCGAGAAAGTTGTTCCTGACCAACCGGCTGAAAATGTTTCAATAAGTGCTTCAGCATTTCTCAAACGAGATGACTCCCAAGGATTTTCAAATTATACTGGCCAACCAGACAGCAGTGTCAGTACCGAACTGCATGAGAGCTGCTGGTCTGTTCGAATTGAAACCAAGGGTAGAGAAACTCAAGCTACCAACATAACCGGTACAGGGGACGTCAGAAACTACTACTTCAGAGACGACTTCAAGCACATGATTAAACCTGCCTATGATGTAAGACATGTTGTCTCCATCCTGCAGAGTATAGTAGTGTAAGTGACAAACCACTGAAGTTACTTAAAGGTATCGGAACTGATTATGATGTGTGCTGGGAGTATTTGCACAAGTACTGTGGTGACTCAAGAATCATCTCTGATGTAGTGACTCAAGATCTTGCTAAATTCAAAGCACTTGGTAATGGAGAAGACAGTCATTTTTGCGAGCTTACTCAACTGGTAAGATGCAACTTCAATGTCCTGAAACAAATAGGCAAAGAGGCAGACCTGGACAACAACCACATGCTAGCTCTAATCGAGCAGAAATTGTCTGCAGAAGATAGAAAGGTGTATGCCCGAATAATACAAGACAGGGAGAACGCTTCTCTTGAAGGACTTCTCAGATTTCTCGAGAACAAGACAAAGACCAGAAAGAGGGCAATTGCTCCCATCAGAAGAACCAGTATGACAGTATCTCAAGAAGCCAGAGTACATCTGACAACAGGACAGCCCGTCAAGAACGAAAAAGTGGGAAAAGTGCTGGGTATGCACGACCAACAATCACTGGCCTGATCAGTGCCCCGCAATATTGAAACTGACTCCCAAAGAACACGTCCAAAATGTGAAAGACAAGCACGCCTGCTTGAAGACAGCCAGCAAAGGGCACAACATGTTACAGAAAGAAGAAATACCCTTAGTGTGATGCCCATCGTCATCCCCTCCTCCATGTAGCAAGCCTGTCATTTCAACAACACTGACCACCCAAGTAATGGCATGTAAAACCAGCGCAGATTACACCAATGCCACACTGCCCTTGCTGACGACTGACATTGGGGCTACTGACAAGAAAATAACCGGAAACATTGTCTTCAACTGTAGTGCGAGTGTAACCCTGGTCCAAGAAGTAACAGTGCAAAGACTTGGACTGCAGGGAAAGGGATAGCTGATCAGCGTAGATATCACAAATCTGGGTGTAATGAGTGAGACACACATCACCAAACAGCATGAAATCAAGGTGTTTTGTGAGAACAAAGCGTACAAAGTGGCATCAATAGAAGTTCCCAAAATAACCACAGTGCCTCCACTACCAGAAGAGTGTCAAGAAAAGATCAGATGGGTGTTTGGAGAGGTTGACATAATGCTGGGTGTTGATCATCCTGGCATGCATGGAGGTACACAAAACAAATAGATGGCAAGGTCCTAAGAGATTCGGTAGTGAGTTGGGTGATTCTTAGATTACCTAACAAACATCCACTGTGATTAGCAAGACAGATCTCAGTGAGTTTTGGTCAACAGAAAGTATGGGGCTTAGGATACAAAATTGCAGCGCAAAACCTTCCAGTAGCCTAAACCTGGGACCCAGTGAACTATGTCAGTTTGAAAAAATGTGAAACTCATCAAGAACATTGACAATAGATGGCTGGTTCCCTACCCATGAAGAAAGATCCAAAAGAGCTACCTGGCAACAGAAACAACTGTGGCCAAAGTATTATCCATAGAAAAGAAGCTCCAAAAAGAAAGAAAATACACTTAAATGGAACAAAAGGATATTCAAGAAAGTTAAGCAACAACGGGATAAATAATTTTGATGGTCGAGTTCACTTCATTTCCCACCACCCAGTCATTCGTCTTGAAAAGAAGAGTATGCCAGTTTGTACTGTCTTCAATTTGTCTGCCAGCTTCAACGGTCATCGACTAAACGGCTACAGGCAGAAGAGACCTGATCTCTTTAACAATCTCTTTGGAGTTTTATTCCGGTTCAGACAATTTCCGATTGCTGCGTCAGGCGGCATAGCAAAGATGCACCATCAAGTCAGAACCCCAGATAACACTAAGCATGTAAACAGGTTTCTGTGGATAAACTACGAGGCTCGAGAACCAGACATTTATGTGAAAGAAGTGGTATGAAACTTTGGCGACATATCAGCACCTGCTATGGCATTGACAGGACTGAGGTGAACAGCCACTGAAGGGGCTGAAGTCTACCCAGAAACATCCAGAATATTAGACCAGGACACATACATGTACATGGATGACATATGCACATCCACCAATTCAGTTGAAAAGGCTACATTTTGGTGAAGTGTAGCAAAGTGTGGCGAAGACTGGCGAAATTGACACTGTCCTGGATGCAGAGCTGCTTCAAGGGAAAAGAGTGGATTTCAAATACAAGCTAACAGAATGGAAGACTGACAACAGAAAAATCATTGGAACTCCAACTGCAGAAAACAGAAAGTGTTAGGCGATGTATAGGACCCTGAAAAAGATAAACTGGAATACAAGGTGAAAATAGAAGACACAGAAGACACATCATGAACAACTGAAGAAAGGAGATTTCAAGTCATTCAGTCCACTTGCAAAAGACAAAATGATATTCATACAGGAGGAAGAGACAATCTCTTGCTGTAAGAGGTCACCCAAGGGTAATCCAGAGTGACAAAGAACAAAGAATCGCCGAAATTTCTGGTGAAATACAAGCACAAATCAAGAAGCATAAACAAAATCCAGAATAACAAGAAAATCACTCTCAAGATATTTTGATAACAAATACGTACAAACACGCCACAACTGGGGCGAAGCTAATTTAGGTATATACAGACAAATAATAGAACAAGGAGAATAAACTGGGTAAACTAACTCAAATTTATTCTGAAATCAAGAAAATATATACAAGAAAAGCAAACAGCACCACCAGGCGAAGTCTAGAAAAGGGAGATACAAAACTAGGTTGACAAAAAATCAGTCTTCCACCTTGCGCAAGACTGAAAAGGAATGGCAAATATATAGTATATACATACAGGGAAAATGAAACAGACGTACCGTTCACAAGAATGAGATTGAACAAACGAACTAGGTGATCAAGAAATAACACCAAAAACACAAGTAGTGACGGAAAATTTTCGGAGCAGGACCAAAACACGTCCAATAGTAATGGCGCAAAGAAAAGAGGAAGAACATGGCGGCCGCCTTCGCTGGAGTCGAGTGAGTGAGGGCACACTGTGGGTGATCGAGAATTTAGCGTGTGGAAGTAATGGACCAGGAAATAATGCAAACGTATATGTATTGGTAATCTGTGTAGGTTACAGACAGTAGACTAGGCATATAAAAGCTACCACATTTACTGATTTGAAGCGTAAATGATTGAAGTCAAGTTTCAGAAAACTAACTTTAATTTGTTTTACATTTACAGCATTTGTGCACCTACCCTTGATGTGCAGATGACTTCCCTGAGGTTAATGTTCATCCAGTTATCACATGCAACGAGATGTCCATTGTATGTCTCTCCATTCTTCAACTCCACCAGCTGTCAGCAAATTGAGAAAATGTCACAACCATCGTTCATTCCTGCACCTTTTGCTTTTCCATTAGGCACTACAGAATACACAGGCATGATTCCAACCACAAATAGACTCAATCAACAACTGGCTAGAAATCAGAAGTTTTTAAAAAACTAAGAAAATCAGTTTAAGGAATGTAATCATGATCTCAATGGTACCATACAGTACCACGACAGGGCAAAATGTTACTTCTGTACTCCCTGGCCTGTAAACAGTATGCACTGTATTTAACTATTTCTCTGGTGATGTCCTTTCTCTTGAATACCTTTTTGCTACCAAAAAAATTTGAGCACCATGGCAAAAGCTACATGTAGAATTGTTACTCTTGATACTTTCAAAGTGTTTGAGTTTAAAAAACAAAAGCTGTTTTGGCTGGTGATCGAAACAGCTAAAAAACATGAAAAGAAAATGAAAATAATTTTTTAAAGAAAACAAAAGCCGCTTCAGTTACCTGAAAACAAAGGCTTTTCCACATAGTGCACTACCGGTATGTGCAAAAGCCAAAAACAGAACAAAAGAATGCCTTTTTCGCAAAGTTGCGATAAAGCCAAAAACATCCTAACTTTTGCTGTCTCAAACCTATAGGTCCATGTGTCCACTAGGCACAGCACCAGGCTAATGGAATCTCAAACCTGAATGATCCCCAATACTTGGGCCTACTGCACAAAAGTGTATACCCCAGTAGAATTTGGAAATCGTGTTAGTCACCCCAACTATAGCAGATACATGTACATGTACCTTCACAGAAAGTTCCATAATTACATGTATGTACCCAGTAAGTACTTACACATGTATGTAAAATGTAGGCTGAATTGTATGCCAACGTACCCGGTATATACATGTAAAGTGTTTTTACACAACTTTGGAGCATGGAATTGTTTTGTGCATGCAAAGTCAAGGCACCAGACAGGCGCTTTGCTTTGTATGATTCTTCATATATAGATGTGCCCCCTCGCTGGGAGACATCCAGGCATTATTTTTAGATGACAACATCCACAACTAGCACACGTACATTGTACATGTACATGCACCAGTGCATCACAGGTCAAATTTTTTAAGGTTCAATGACATGGGAAAATGTAGGATTTTGATGAGCTTAAGGGTGATAGTACGAATGTCCAAACTCTCCAGACTATATCAGTGCAAGTAAAAATGTGCTGTCATTTCTCTTTCAGAAGACATTAGGATTCAAAGTTTGTGACATTTCTGAAGTTAGGATTTCAGGAGTTAACGTCCTTCACCGAAGTAGGGTTGTGATGGCAACAGTATAATGACAAATTTCAAAAGAGAGCCATTCACAGCCCTACGTGTGGAGCTAGGGTCAGGCATGTTATGTTGGATGTCATAAGACTTGAAGATTAACATGGTTAACATACCATAGCACATAAGCATGATAGGCCCAATTCGCCTGTTATTGCATTGGCATTTATGGTCTGTATCATGCAGGTACCAATGGTGATCAGTGATCCATCATAGGTTCACTAATCAATGCAGAGAAATAAAACAAGAACATGGGTTCACTAACACCTAAACTCGCGTAATGGATGGAGCGAACCCAGCAATGAGGTAACTGGTCAAGATCTAGATCTATCCGTATGAAGCAAACAGGTCATTAACCATAACAGTCCTCAATCCCTTGATTACACCTAAACTAGAGTAACAGGCAACTGCGGCCACACCGATGTTAGTTTGAACTTACCATAGGGTGGTTTTGAGCTGTTCTCAGAAGAGAGAGTGGTAACTAGAAGCAAAATGGACAAAATGACAAATTGTGAGGCACATTGTAGGACTATCAACAAATGAGCATTTCTGCAAAAACTACTCATATTCTCACGGTCGGGATGACATAACTGAGTCTTGGTTCTTCTCTCTAATTGTAGCTATACCCTGTAGATTCATGGACCCAAAACATTGGTGGCTCTAGTCCTAATATGCTAGTTTGTGAATCACAGTGTGACTGTCATTTTTGACCTTGATAAAACCATAGGGGTAATTGTGTGAAGAATGAAAATGTGATTTATTTGCGGAATCCAAATACCTTGACTCTAAAACTTTGAATCTGCAGTAATAGTTTTTGCCAAAATATTTATTCAACCCACAAAATGACATGGCGACATTCACAGAAATCTTAATTTCAGACAAAAATGACAGATTATCCTTTATTACATGTACCTTGATTTTATTTTTTCATCTTACCTGTGGTACGTTTGATTAGATTTGCATAAAGAAGAAAACTGAAATGTGGTGATTATTATTACGAATTAACTTGCACATTATCATTATCAGCTCAACTTGACTGTTACAATGGGAGTGCCCCCCCCCCGGTTGGGAGAAATTCTGGTTCACTCCCCCCACAAATTCCAGTTTCACACTGTATACATACGAGATACAGATATTTCAAATCATATGTTATTTCCCAACACATATCTTATAAACTGTCTAAAGATGTCACAAGTATTTGACAATTATGCATATCGAAATGTATACTTTCAGACTTTGGCGCACATCTATTTTATCATGACATCCGTTCCTGCTGCCTTACGGAGGTGGGCGACTTATCATTTGAATGCAAATATAAAGCCTTTTAAGAAGATATCAGAACTAAATAATTCCCCATGAATCCAGTGACTGATTGGTCAGTTGGTGCCTAGCCTGTAACATACATGAAATTTTCACACTTGGGACTCAAATCAACCGGGGCAAAAATAGTGTTATTGAATTATTTACTAAACTCTTAACCTTAACATCACATATGCCTGAAATTCACTATTTATGCGCTATGAATATCTCCCACACTATGGGCCTACCAAAAAGGTTTAAGTAATTTTCACCACATTACAGCAAAACATGCAAATCATGGAAAACATGCAAATCACTGTCATGCAGGCTTATGTAGGGTTACTTCCAGAACTGTGAGGTTAAACCTTACAGACAGCCATGTACAAACTGGCAAAACACATTTTTGGCTGTTTTGATTATGCCAACTTACTCGGCCATCACAGCTGTTTTGCATCTCCTATCTTTCCCTTCTTGTTTTCCAGTCACCCTCAGATGAAAGCCACACTGTAATCATGGTAATTAACCCAATCTTCTTCCATTCCAATGACCAATTTTAACTTGACTTTCATTTTGATGGGGTCAGGAAAACAAAAACGAAAAGATAGGACCTGTGTTGCAATTGGTCAAGTTATCACACAGCTGACAGTTATTGAGAGTGCGTGCTGTTGATTTTCTGTAGTGTGGAGGGGAAAAATGCGGAAGAATTTCATCATTTTCATGAAGATATTACAAGGTGAATAAACCTCCCATCCAGTAGGGGCGCACATCACACCTCTGGGACTGTCTTAGTATTTGGAGAAGTCCCTTTTAGACCATTGCACGTCCCCCGCAAGGTGCTTTAAAAACAACTGTTATGGCGTATCTGAGAACTAAGGAAAGCAGGAGGTTGTGGGTTCGAGTCCCACCCGAGTAAGCTTGTGAATTTTTTCGCAAGCTCTCGGACAAGCACTGAGCATACAGTGTTTATCAATATATATGTTGGGTAAGGGCAAAACCTGTTATATAAATTAACATCTCCCCAATGCAAAAATACATCTTGAAATAGTTCGTAGTACCCGCTGCTACACCTGACTCGGGTCGGCCAGCCGACCACGGCAAGCTCGGTGGCCAAGTGGTTAAGACGTCTGCACTAGTAAGCAGGGGGTCGTGGGTTCGAGTCCCATCCGAGTAAGCTTGTGAATTTTTTTGCAAGCTCTCAGACAAGCACTGAGCATACAGTGTTTATCAATACATACGTTGGGTAAGGGCAAAACCTGTTATATAAATTAAGGAAACTTTGTTGATTATTACAGTATGGGGGTAAGGAATTCAAATTTTCATGTTTGAACCTCCAAAAACCTGCATTTTTTGAGATATGAGGCAATAAATGTGCACCAAAGCAGGACTGAACTTAGATATACAAAATGAATGAAAAAACAGTTCAATTAGTAAACTTACCTGCCAACAATGATTTTAAGAAAGGCACAGAGAAATGTCATTGAAGAATAACTTAAAATATTTTCAGGAGATAAAGGTGCACACTTCATCCTAAATTTCTTTTATTTTCAGACTCAAGTGTACTAAAACAAAGACCAAATAAAACCATCACTGACAACAAAGTCGAGGCAATTTTTACATCTGTAAGGGTGAACAACTGTGATTCCATTATATTTACCTCCAAATACAGTGCAGTTGCAGTTTTCCCAGCAATGGACATCAAAGGAACTGAATCAACCGGATTATTCTATATAACACTCAAAGGTGCACCATGTTCTCCCTTTTTCATCATATTTTATACAGTTACATAAACACCAGTAAGGTGCTTTGAAGGCAGCATGTATTGTAACCATTTCTATCAAAGTTATGTACATGCCTGTTCATCCAATTTATACTGGCTGTGCAAATGACCATTGCAACAATAAAAAGAGAAAATAAGCATACATGGGGGTTAAATGACAACTAAGCAAAATATTATTTTGTATTCAGTACATCAGTGGATGCTAAACCTTCCGTATAAAAAAATTCTACTATTCACTTCTAGGATTACGAGCAGGAGTCTGCAATGGCACATAAAAGGTGGGGAAAAGACCACATCCGTATAAAAAAATTCTACTATTCACTTCTAGGATTACGAGCAGGAGTCTGCAATGGCACATAAAAGGTGGGGAAAAGACCACATCAAAGCAATTTTCTAAAAATCAATTCTTTTAATATGATATAGTTAATCAAGTGACATGGCACAATGTTCACAAAAACAACCGAAATAACTAAATATAAATGGAAAATGTAGGAGAAAAAACTGATACATGTAATAGCATGTGCATATTTTTGACCTAAGCCCACTTGGGAAAAATTGTCCCCTTTCAGGGAGACATTCTCTCTTTCAGGGGAATGGTTTTGTCCCCCCCCCGGGCCCCCGGAACAGTCCCGGAGTTGTGATGTATGCCTTTACTGCCATCAGACATCTAACTTCACTAAGAGAACGCATGTTGTATGAAATTTTGATGCACAAATATCTGCAATGGCAGAGTAAGTTGGCACAATCAAATCAGCCAAAATGTGTGTATGCGAGTTTGTACACTTCAAGGTTTATACAGACCTAAGCCTAGGCCTATGTCTGTACATGTACATGTCTGTATAAATCTTACAGATCTGGGAGAATGTAACCGTCATGATAGCATCAACACACGCAAGTAACATTAGGCCTAACGTCAACAAGGCATCAACAATTTGAAAATACCCTTTAAAGATTGAGAAGTGATTTTAACATATTTAAAAGACTCTAACACCTGCCACTGGGTGAGAGAAACAGCAAATTTGCTTCCATATTCTTGCAGGACAACAAAATTTTTTCCCAATCTTTCTTTTCTCTGCCGTCCACGTGAAAACGCAAAGGCGGCCAGTCGGTCTGCACGAGAAGGCCCAACTTTGTCACTCAAACATTTTGAATTTCCACACTCAAATATCATTTCAGATGAATGTGACACATTGAATATAATATGTAGGAGCCTAATTTTTATTTTAAATTCAACAATAACATTTTGCATAAATATGCTTTACGCCTAATGACTTGTTGACACTTGTTGACATGGTTAAAGTGAAATGGGTTAATTCGTACCCGAGTTAACTCATACCCAAGTCAGCTCATACCCCAAAATTCGCACCCAAGGTTAATAACTCGTACCCAGGTCAACACGTGCCCGAGTTAACTCGTACCCAGGTTGGCTCGTACCCGAGTCAACTCGTACTCCCCAGAAGAGCGTAATAAGATTTGATGCTCACATTTGTTGAACGAATGTTCCTTTACCAGTCGCATTTCGTTGAAAATCCCTACGGTTTCCAGGACATAAAATGAATCTGACGACAGTGCGTACCCCCTGAACAGAAATGTTCCACAGACGTACCTCTCCATCCAGTCAATGTCTTTGTCCATTTCAAATTTACGCGTCCAAGTCTTTTGGGGGGATGGCTTGATTAATTTGAATTAATAAAATCAGTGAACATACTTTGATCGAACGTGTATGATTGATGTCAGCTTCTTGTTTGGCTTGATTAATTTGAGTTAATAAAATCAGTGAATATATTCTGATAGTATGGTTCAACCATTGATGTCACAGCTTCTTTTGGGGAGAAGGAGCGATTTTTGAAAGACATTAATAGCATCTACCATCAGTCGCACATCCAAAAAAAAAAAATTGTAATCATTAATATAATAAATAATAATGATTATATAATAATAACTAATTAAGTGCAAAAGGGGAAGACAAATTATCGTATACCAAACATAAAAATAAACAGAATTGTAATCATCAGGCCCTAATAAAGTTAAACTGTTTGGAGTAAAGGGGAAAAAACGTAATCCTCATCGAGGGTACGAGTTGGCTGGGGTACGATTTGACTGGAGTACGAGTTGACCAGAGTACGACTTAACTCGGGTACGAGCTGACCCAAACTCGGTTAATAAAGTTGGGGAATTAGCACGGCTGCAAGGGGATCCCGGCCAGCCGGCTGCAGGCTGTACAGAGAAAAGCATTATGAAAGTTAGTGAATGCCCCCTTGCCCAAACGTGAGTGCAATAAATGGAACAAACTCCAACCAAGACATTTATCTCAAAAGCTGTAATTCACCATATTCCTTCGATTCGTTCAGCAGAGGACAATTACAGATATCGATAGGCGCAGTGTAAAACTTGACTCCACGATCTTAGCACCAGCGTAAAGCCCGCGCCATCTTGCCTGGATAGGCCGTTCCGAACTGCACCTGTGTCGCGCCTGCCCATTAGCCGGTCCACTTCGAACACGCTTTGCCATTGGGTATGTAGGCGGCTGGTCCCGGTGCGACTTTTCCTTCTTTGTTCTGTGATCACGCTGATGGTCGCCGAGTACCGGCGACGGAGGTTCTGCCTGATTGGCCCGCTGCCGAGAATATGTAAATGAAAACTTGCCCGCTGTTGCACTACACCAAATACGCGCCGAAAACAGTGCAAAATCGGACCGAAATAGTGCCGCCCGTTGACTCTCATGAAGAGGTTGGCCTCCGTTTTTTTTACTGGAAATTCAAGATTATTTCCAGAAGATCACTTTTCGTTTAATTTCATGGGGGTTAGCCACGAAAATCTTTTTCTATTCGCCTTTCAAGGAAGATACCCCAAAAACAGCAGTAAAACTAAGCGCTCATTTCTGAATGTAACCGCCCGCCCTATCCAAAATAGGTCCGCAATATGGGAATTTTTGTGAAAGAAATACCCTGAACCAGAAACTATCAGTACCAAATTCGGGATATATAGAAATATTTCTATGATGCCTTCTGATTATGGCATGTCTTATTGTAAAAACCCCGTGGGATAGCAAAATATTAATGAGCTCGCGCGCAGAAATACAATTTTGGTGGAATGCACCCATTTCCAATCGAGCTTTTATTCAAGGCGTCTTATGGGTGCAGTGTCCCAATTCAAGGAAAATTCTCCGCCAGGCCGAGGCGCAGAAAAAGAGATTGTTTCAAAAAGAGTGGTCTGTTTGGGCCAAGAAATGGTGGAATTGTGTCAGTATAGCCCAGGATCATCTCTGTAGATTCAGGGACACCCATCTGGGGGCAAAGCAGACAAAAATGGGATTGAAAATTAGTCAGAAGAGCCCCAAGAAGGTGAGGGATGTCAGGTTCAGTGCACCCCAAAGCATAATTGTGAATTGTGTAGTCAAACCACAGCGCCGCAAAGCGGCACAAGATGGCAAACTTCACCGTGAATACACGTAAAACGTTGTAATTGCATGGGCGCCATTTGAGCAAGCGATACGCCTGTGTAATGCACATGCAAAGGCGCAGGCGCTGCGGCATGCACGTGCACCTGGTGACCCTGCGCCTAGCATTACCGTAAACTGTGCAGGCGTATCGCTTGCTCAAAAGGCGCCCATGGTAATTACACCCTTTGGGCAGATATATCTATCTTGCGCCTTCGGCGCTACACGATCTTTGGGTCAAACTATCGGCTGTGCTTAGCCAATATGGCTGTCGTTTCTAAGCTGTACAGGAGAGGATTTTCGTCATTAAAAAGTACGATTCCAAACACCAACCGCCCATTTATATTTCCAGATATAATTTCCTTTGTGCTCATATTTATCAGTAAGTCAACCGAGAATGACGTTAGATTTCCATTGACGTGCAAACTATGGCCATGTAGCATAATTGCGCTCGCACGCGCGTATAGGCCTCCTGGGGTGCCTGTGGTACCGACACGAGTCAACTGCACGCCGTAACTTTCCTACGATGACGCCTTTTCCACGAATCTACAGAGCTGCATTGTCGAAGAGGCGCTGGGGGGGGGTACTCTTTAAGGTAAATTTATCGATTGCTCTTGGCCATGGAAACTGCTCTTTTTATAAGGAAAGTTTGAACACCCTGTAGTGCCATCAAGTAGAGATTTAAAAAAAAAAGACTTCATTTTTTGAAGTTCGCGTTTATGAAGTATGTTTTCAAGTTTGTTTTTACGGTTTTTTTTTCAAAGTTCATTTGATGGAGTTATAATATTCTCCAGTTAGTGCTTGTGGGATTGATATTTTGAAATATTATTTTTATTTTTGTAGACATATCTCTTGTACGAGATATATTTTTCCAAGTTCGTTTTTAGGAGATTTTTAAGTTCGTTTTAATCAGTAACATCTCTTTAAAGTTTTTTTCGTTTTTTGGAGATTAAATAAACTCAAACTTGGAAATATATATCTACTGAAAATTAGCTCGGAAAGCGGAAGCTCATAAAAATAAACTTAATCAAAAAAGATACCGGTATCTCGTCATCCTAACATTGCACCAGACAGAAATGGCGGGAAAGTTGCATGGAACGAGTATTTCGGGGTGGTGAATCCTGTCGTGAAGAAAATGGCTGGCCGACCTGCAGGCGGCACTGTACATGTACTTTATCTGCAAGTCTACAGGGGTGCACTGAGGTTGATTGCTGGTTGTGGACCGGCAGGGCACGGGCGCACATACAATGAGCTTGTAAGGCTGCTTGGGCCGCGGTTTGCTCATAGCCGACAAGCGGAGAACTTTCTAGTGGACTAACAACATCGTAGCCAGTGACTGAAGGAGACTTTTCGCGAGGTAGGTCAGGCTTTTTAGGGAATTGGCGGCAAAGGCTTATCCTGGGATACAGGAAGAGGCCAGGGGTAGGCTTGTCAAGAACCGTTTCAGGATGCAGTGGAGACTGTGCGGGAGTGCATCCACCGTGCCCGTCCTGAGGGTCTTGATTAAGCTGTGAGGGTCGTATAAGAAACCGAGAACTTTGAGAAACTTGAGGAGCAGCACGGCAAGATTGCAAGCCAGCACAGTTCGTGGGGCTTTCAACTGTGCCGAAGATGGAGGAGATTTGGCAGGCCATTGAACAGTGGGTATGTTCCATGATATTAATCTGTGTTTTTTCAGAGTTGATGAAGCAGAAACGTAGCGGGGAGACAGGTGGAGTTACACGTATCTCCAGCACGGTCGCCCAAGGTTCCTAGAAAAAAGACGGGTGATCTGAAATGTTTCAATTGTAGTGAAACAGGTAATTTTTGGCGAGCATGCAGGAGCCCTGGAAGAAAGAAGATCCAAAACAGGGAAACGCTATCCAGCCGACCGGCGGGCAAGGGAGCAGACTGGGAAGTTCACAGGGCCAACAAGGAATAGAAATTGCGAGGAACCCAAGCTGGAGCAGGAGACCAACCATTAGAGGTTACATGTCCTACGACTACAAGAAAAGGCGAAACATGGCTTGTTCGTGAATGGGGTGGTATGGAATACATGATGTAGGTTCCTTCGAGACACAGCTAGGTTGTCAGAAACTGTCGAGTAGTTCGGTGTATAACAAAATTCCGAATGATCACAGGCCAATAGTGCTGACTGAGGATCTGAAAATTAATCAGGTAGACGGAAGCCCGTTGGCAACGAGTGGTACTGCCTGGATGGAGGTACAGATTGGAAAGTCATTGTCTTCAGTGAAGGTAATTTTTGCTGACACCCCGTATTCAGGATTTGGGGATGAATTTCCTGTTGCCCATAGGTTATACCAGGCAAGATATGGGACGGAGGGTACCCCCTTACCTGTCCAATCCCTATACACACTGTAGACTATTGTTACCCAACACATCCCCCCTAGAAGTCTGTAAAGAATTCCTGAGATTCCGATCAAACAATGACCAACACAAAGGCGGGGGGGTCTCTCTGTCCCATATCTTGCTTCAAATGCCATGGGTGCAAGTTTGGAAATGCACACTCTGCAGCTGGGGTTGAATAGTGAACTATTTGTAAGGAGGGTGGTTGTTACTGACACAAAGGGTGTAGTGTCAGGTGCCATTCGAAGGTGGTGTGAGGTTGTAATAGGTCCTGTACTTGAGCCTGTGGGAGGCAGTGGAGAATTGGCACAGTGACATTTAATTCTTGCGAGATCACCGGTTGAGGGTGATCAGGATGTGCTACCGCTTTAGGTGCTTACCCTGACAGGGAGAAGCAAGTTGGAAGGCGATGTAACAAATTGGGGATGGTTCCCAGGTAGAGGTTGACCATTTTCGGGGCGTTCCTTGGTCTGAACGTCCCGAGCATCTGCGGGATTTATTCAGAAGTGTGGGTTTTTTGAGAGATGAGGATCACCATATAGTGGTGGAGTGTCTTGTCAAATTATCAGGATATGTTTTCTTGGGATGACCATGAAATTGGTCGGACTGAGGTTGTTAAGCACTGCATCAACATGAATGATGCAAAGCCAATCGAGGAACGGCTTTGGCGGTGCCTGATGGGAGATCAAGAAGAGATCATAACGGAAAAAGAGGTGTAATTGAGCCGTCGGATAGATATAGCCGCATTGAATGGGACAAGGCCTAACTCATCGCCCCCATCCAGAACTGGCTCCAAAGAAGAATTTGAGAAGCCATCGAGAATTTCCGGCACACCGTACCCCAAGACATCGGTTTCAAGCTCAGCGACATCTGGCGCCCACTACTTGCACCCAAGCAGACACCCACTCCCGGGCAGTAGGGTCCCCTATACCCGAAACCCATGCCCCCCACTCCAGGCGCGGAGGTCTTCTCTACCCGAACCCCCCGTCCCCCCTTGGCATAAGGGTTCCCTATACCCGAACCCAGGGTTTCCCGCCAATTCTGTAACTCACACCGCCACAGGATCCGACACCTTCACGCAACAGTGCACACGCTGAGTTATACGCAACCCGCGAATCCCGTTCCACGCTCCACCGCTTCCGGATTACCAAGCTATCAACTCCAAAACAAGATCTGGAGTACTTCCCAGTGTCCTAGCCGATGGAAAGAAGCCATACTTACTCCTATTCTTAAACCCGGCAAAACTCCTACTGATCTTAAATCTTACCGGCCAATTGTGCTCACCTCCACCTTCTGCAAAATAATGGAGCGCATGGTCAATAATAGACTTATCTGGTACCTGGAGAAGCACAATTTAATCATCAGTCTGGTTTCCGGAAAGGGAGAAGCACCAAAGACCATATTATTCATCTTGAATCTAGCATAAACAAGGCTTTTGCCAACAGAGAAAGTACTTTGGCGGTCTTCCTGGATCTTGAAAAAGCATATGATATGCTATGGCCCAAAGGAATTGTCATCAAATTACAATCACAAGGAATTAGTGGGCGTATTACACGATGGATAAATTACTTTCTTACAAATCGGAAAATCCAGGTTAAAATAAATAACACTCATTCTGAATCATGTACTGTTAAAAATGGTAGCGTTATTAGTCCAACACTCTTAAATATGCTGTTAATGACCTTCTGTCAGTATGTAGACGACATAGTCATATGGAAATCCAATAGAAAAATTAATTTCATTACCAGTAAGATCGAACAAAGTCTCAATTACATTTCCTCTTGGTGTGGAAAATGGGGCTTTAAAATATCAACTCCCAAGACCTACGCTGTCCTATTTACTCATAAACGAAATGCTTCCTCTAAACTGAAGATAAATAATTCTGACATAAAATTTCAAATTTCAGCTAAATTTCTTGGTGTCATCTTTGACAACAAACCTGGAAGGAACACATCAAATATGTCGTCAATAGAAGCAAAGCTAAACTTAACATCCTCAGATGCATAAGTGGAACTGATTGGGGATCAGACTGTTGTATTCTCTTTTGCCTGTACAAAACTCTTATCAAACCAGTTCTGGAGTACGGATGTGAAGCCTGCAACTCAGCGGCTTTAGAATACAAGCAAAAATTAGATAGTATACAATACCAGGCTCTGAGGATATGCTGTAGAGCACTGCATGGAACCTCGTTACAGAAACTGCAAGTAGAGTGTGGAGATCTTCCTCTTTATCTCAGCCGTAATTATTTTTGTAATCTGTATATCAAACTGGATATGCATGGTTCTCATCCTAATAAATACGTCCAAATAGACGGCTGGAAGAAACACTAGATTTAGAAGCAACTTGCTCTCAGTGGTCAGCACTGATATGTGACTCCCTTTTGTTTTTTATGTGGCTCACATACTACGATCTAGTTCCACTCTACACTCCTAAAAAGGAGTCCTGTAGTTTGTGCACCATAAGTCTGATCTCTGCCTCTGTCATCCACTCAGCACTAGAGATGGCATTCATTGCAGTGATTGTGCTTGACAGGGTCTTGCTTCGTAGCCATATTCGCCCATTCATTCCCACCGCCAACTCCACTGGTATGAGCTGGCCGAGTTGTTTTATCAAAGTGCATTCAGGGGACAGGATCCTGAAAAAGGGTGCAATTTTGAAAAAGTTTAATCAACATTATAATTATTATCCTCAGTACAAGAAGCAATTTGGACTGAGATCTACCGTACATGCACATGTAGCTGAAACAATTTCATGTATTTTTGCAAATTACACAAGGGATCCTTTTTTAAGGGTCTGACTTTGTGAACAATTTTAAATAATTACATGTGCTTCGAATATCAAACCAAAATATGAGAAACAATATTTGTTACTGCTGACCCTCTTTGGAACCACCAACAAGAATTTCAAGAATGAATCATGGTTTATTTTCAGCCCGAACCACCTGGGGCTAGCTCCACGATTTTGTTTAGTGGGAAAAGGCATAATGTGGCACTGATCTGTAAAACTTGCTGGATTTCTCCTTTTCTCAGACATCAGACATGTTTACAGAGAGTAAATTTGGGGTTCAAATCTGGAACATTAAAACTTGCGAACTCGAAAGTGTCTTCCTGAATTTCCATCACATTACCAGTGCCCTCACCTGTCTGGAAAAGCCTGGTCAATTTTGAATGTTTAAAAAAGCACACTTACTCCACTCCAGAAAGATTTGAAACCATTTTCATATATGTACATTCATACATTGAAATGTTCATTCTTTTTGGCAATTTATTGTCAGGTCAGTGCACAACAGTAATTGATAAGAAAAATTCATCGCACTGTTCCTTTACCCCCCCCCCAAAAAAAAAAAAAGTACAAAAAAAAAAAAAAAATTTGAAATTGACATTCAATGTTATGCCAAGCACAGCATACAATGATTCAATGCAGTGCAATCCTATAAAAGTGTCCACTGATACCAAGGCTGCCACTACAGCAAAATGCTAGGAAACTGTACTGTGAGAAATAACATTTGTAGATGAACATGTGTAATACAAAACTGCTGCAAGAAATACGAATCACAAAATGGGGGGCCTGACATTTTGATCCTAGAAGAATCTTTCTCAAAGGCACAGTGACAAGTATAGGGACAAACAAGCAAGCAGGGAATCAAGCAAGCATGGACAAATGCAGGAGGACAAAAGGAAGGAGTGAGAGAGCTGGTGGCAATAAAGGGATGTCAGGTGGGAAGAGATAAAAGAATACAATAATAATCTGCAGACAAAAGTGACGGAGAAAAGATATTAATTAGTTTCCCTAGCCTCTTGGATGTTCAGGCCATTTGGTAGTACGGTGCGGAGGCAAAGCTTCTTCCTGTTGAAGAGAACAGCACCTTTACGGTGGCCAAGTGATTCTACATGTATGCCCTGTAAGATCATGTCGGAATAGGAATGGTTAGGAAGGTTAAAGTCATGGCCCATAGCTGTGCACATATTATGAAGCACGATATGAGAGAACCCCTCCCCCCGCTTTGTGTTGGTCGTTGTCTCACTGGAATCTGGGGAATTGTTTTCAGACATCTGGAGAGGACGTGTTAGGTAGCAATAGTCTAGAGTGTGTATAGCGATCGGACATGTTGGGGGGGTACTCCTCAGTCTCATTTCTGGCTGGATATAGCTGTGCACAGGGGTACCTCATCGCTTGGTGTTGAACATAGATCTGTGGCCAGAGAAATGCTTCTTGAAAGTCTCCAACATACTAAACAATGCACACCCTGCAAGAGATAAGATATGTGACATTAGAAGAGCTACAAGTGACAGGGTGTTTAGTTCTGTAGGTGGTACCGGAGGAATGTCCAGAGAATGTGTCTGATTCCAGGACATTGTTTCTGGCAAACAACACATCTGTTTAGAGTCAAACTTGAAGGTACATGTACATGTACCATGTTGGGAAAAGTGTATCTAAGGGGAGACCTCTGCCTGTGTTCAAGGAGCCCAAATGATCAGGTCCCGTAGGTTGGTCTGGGCCCCTTTTGGCTAAGCATTTTTGTGATTAAAAAGTATGAAGCAATCTGGAACATTGAACAAGTTGCCTCTTCCTGGTCACCTCTCTTTCCTCTTCAATAATGTTTTTCAATCCCAGTGAAGAATCCATATTCGTTGGATGACTGTTTCCTTAGTGCATTCTGACCCTGCAAGGTCAGGCTCTGGGAATATTTTGCAGGCGATCTCAATGTAATTGGCCTCATTTGTTCAACCATTTTGATTTCAAATTTTTTTCATTTATCCCCAGTTTAAGTTGAAACAAACCAAATTTCTGTCCACAGAGGTACATGTAGCTCTACCTCCATGTTCTTTCATGAGTTTTATCAGCAAAGAGAAATACACCTTTAATTTTCAGTATTATCTATTTTTCAGAAGTCTTTGTCCAAAGTTTTCATCAAATTTTCTATAGAAATAACACCACACAAAATGAGCTTGAAATACAGTAAACTCTCGATAACTTGAACCTCAATGGAATGGATAAAAAAATACAAGTTATCCAAATTTCTAGCTAACAAAAATTCCTGATTCTTGTCCATACATACATGCACTGTGTACAAGCAACCCTACTTGCCTTCGGCATTTAACTATCACAGAGCTGACATCCAAATCAAATATCCTATTTGACCAATCGCTAGGCGGTTTGAAAAACTCTCTTATCTGCTATTCCAGGCACAACACTGAGTTCAAGAAAGACACAAGCAGTTAGAAATGTCCTGATTTTGCTCGTTTACGTGACAACTGTTGTAAAAAATACATCTTCACACCCTAGCATTCGTTGGTACAATTGACATTGCCCCTGATGAAACACACATTTCTTTCAACTACTATTCAGTCCAAGTTATAACACATTACGACCAACCATCGCACATAAAGTCCACACAATTAGAACAAAGCCAGTGGCTTACAGGTGAATGTGATAACATGGAACCCCAACCTGACATCACCTGCAGCGATCACATACAGTTTTCTCCACTTATTTGGGGAGCTGGGGCGGAGGGTGCTATTCATTGTCACTCCAAACAACGTTAATTCCTAGGGAGGGCAGCATAGAAAGTTGACTTTTTTTTTACACATGATGAATTGCGTGACTTGATTATTTTTGTAGCCAATTCACCAGTCAACCAATTAATTTTATGAATCAACTAGACATTTTTGCCCTAGCCATTTATAAATATGTTAATGAGTGTCTTTCTTTTTTGGTACTTCTTCATGATTCACTGTAAATAGTCAATGCAAATTTCTACACTCCAGTCAATTTTTTTGAAAGCAAATTTATATCAACTGAAAGAGTGTCAAACAAACTACACAATGACGCAAAGATTCCTCTCTAAAGACATAATTTTGTTTTTTAAAGCAGGGTTCTATGTTGACATTTTCCCAACTATTACAAGTCTACCTTTCTTCACAAAAAGCAAAGGTACATACCTCAATGGAATATTTATGGTAAAACTATTCAAAAAATTATTTTGGGGGTGAATGTTATCTCTCTGTCTAGATCTTAACCACAGTGCAGTAGGGGATACAAAACTTCTGAACTTTCTTAGATATTTGGTCACTTGAATGCATATGAGACAAGAGAAGAAGCTTGTGGGGGAAAGAAACGAGGGACATGTTGACAGTGTGTCAAGATGTACTTTGTGTTGGAGAGACATTAAATTTCTATTTATGGGTTTTGCCCTTACACCAACATACATAAAATAACATTGAATTCTCAGTGCTTGTCTGTGTAATGCCAAAGTACATCTCCAAATGGTTTCATGGTACCCACTACTACATCTGACCCGGACCAGCCAGCCAGCCCCAGCAAGCTCGGCGGTCTAGTGGTTAAGACATCTGCTCTAGTAAGCAGGAGGTTGTGGGTTCAAGTCCCACCCAAGTAAGCTTGTGAATATTTTCACAAACTCTAAGACAAGTGCTGAGAATACAGTTTTATTTAATATACATTGATGTAAGGGCAAACCTTTAATTAAAACACCAGTGTACTTGTTTATTTTGATGTGAAAATACAAGCTGAGTTTGGTAACAAATGTAAACAAATCTCAATTTGAGTAAATCTCAAGCATGCAACAGAGCCCAACACTTCTTGTTAACAAAGACTCTCAGTACCAAGAGTTTGACAGTACCAATTTAGATTGTTTCTTATCATTCACAAGTGACCCAAATATCACGAGCTTTCAAACACAGGATAAACTTTTATAAAATATTCATTAGTTGGTTGAAAATTTATCAATCAGTGCATGGTAAAAAACAATGTAGAAAACCTATGGAGAGAGACTCCAACTTTAATCTCATGTCACGTGACTGCTAATGACGTCACAGTGACAATTTTTGTCTCACACCCTCTTGGCCTGATGCACTAAATACATGTATGAACCAAATAAGAGGTAAATCATAGGAGAGTGCCTAAATTTTGGACAAAAAAACGTGCACACAACTTATGGAGAAAAACTGCACCTTTAAGTTTATGACAGGATAAGCGTTTATACTAAAAGGAAATTATGAAGTATTAATTGATATTTTAACTCTTTGGTATGTTCATTATCGACCAAAAGGAAACCTTTCTCTGTTTTCTCTTTTCTTCTTATAGTAATCCTCAGCCAAAGATCAGGTCCACTCTCATAGTGAGTAGTTGAAAACGTACACAATACTAATGGACAAAACTGCAACTTTAACCTTATGTCATGTGACCCCTGATGACATCATCGTGACTTTTTTTGGCTGCCCCTCGGTTTGATGAACAACATACATACGCAACATGAAGTTAGTCAGATAGATAAGCGCCTCAGTTTTTGACTTTAGAAAACTGCACAAAAACCCAAGAAGTTTGTTTCCGGAAACCCTGGCAGCAAAGTGGTTAAGTCAAGACGGTGATTATGGACATACACTTTGCCCAAGCCATAACTGCAGTTGGCAAATGATAATAATCCAGATACCCACAGTTATACTCACTTCCGAACTAGTCCCAATGAGCATTGGAACATAAAGCCTCCAGACACAACACCAAGTCCTGCACTTCGTCCTCCACTATCCATACAGACTAAATCTGGCTCCATGTCTCGATTTGCAACTAACAGACGACCAAAGACAACATCTCCAATCTAGATATATTCCAAATGGTAGAAATAGGTTAAAAAACAATTGTGTAAGTTATATTTAAGTCACTGATACATGATCAATGATTGCCCAAATCAATGCTTATGCTTTCACAAACTACTGTATACTCACAACAACATTGGGTCTATTCCTCTTGGTTGCTCCTTCAAATGCTAAATATGACAGACTTGCTGGTACACTGCCACCAATATCTACTTTGAATACATCTCCAGTTTTCCCTACCACAATCCCAAGAACAGTTTCTCCTCTGACAGGAACATACTGGAAACAAGTAAATCAACAATAAAAACATAAATCTCTGTGTTTCTTTATAAGAAACTTTGTGTAACATACTTGTACACTGCCCCAAAGCATTTTTAGTCTCAAACTGACTGACATGTACATGTATTACAATATTAGAAGTTCGTTTCTTACCCCATATTTTTCCTGCTGAGATTAGTAAGTGTTTTCTGGATTGAGCAGAGTCACTTACATGTAAAATAAAAAAATCTCCTAAACTGAAAGATGTATGTCTTTCATTTTGGTGACAAGGTAGATCTTACTTTGATTTTTTGACACTGTTCGACCTTGGTTTTGGTCATCAGTTTCTAGTTTTTAATTAGTTTTTCTTTTTAATATTGTTTTTTTTTCATTTATTTGCTTGTTCAACCTTCACATAAAGTTAAAATTGAAGAACTGGAAAGTTAAATTCAAATGCTTACAACGTAAGGCTCATACCACTAGCAAGGGTCTGGTTTAGATCTGGGTTCTTCAATAAGACACAAAATCTGTTGAACTGGTGCACAAAGCAATTCAGAACAATGGCTTGGTGATATTTTCATACAAACTGTAAAATGTGCACACAAAGTGATCTTTTTAATGATGAAATGCACATACAACCTACATGTATGCGTAATTTGGGGTATACATGTAGCTTTGCAGTGGATTTTCAGTTTCGGTTTCAAGACTGATATTCAAATTATTCAATTCCATGTTAAAAGCCATTTCAACTCAAGGCAATACTCATTCAATTTGCTTTTACAAATGGCCATTTTCTGTGTGAAAAAATTGGCATTTAATTTTATAAAAGGGACTGGAAAATTAACATGAATACTTCATTGAATTCAAAGAGGAAAGTGTTAGGAATTTGAATTATTAGGCATGTACATGTGTAGGCATCTGCATTCACAGCAAGTCACATGAATTCTACTGCATACTGAAATCACTACATGCTGAACTGTAATTACTATGGGACCCTAAAATGGAACAACATTGATCCAACATCATGAAAAGTTATGATCTAAAGCTGGAAAGTAAAAATAGGAGAGAAAAGAAGATATTTAGAGAGGAAAGAGAAAAGAAGAACACACACCGGGTGAGGACAAGTCAAGAAAACATGAAATTAAGCACAGGCAAATAAGCTCCTTTTTTTTGCTTTAAACAAATTGAAGATCTCAAGGATTGGAAACTGCAAAAGAACACTTACACATACTGGTCGTAACAAACATTTATGCTACTTCAGCCAAGTAGTCATAAACCACATGAAATTGAACGATGCTTCAGTCAAATTGTTACAAAAAATAATAAATCAACGGAAATGCAAAACAAGGTCAAACTGTAGTTTGTACCACAAAGTCTATATTGTTTCCACTTTTTCTGATGTTGGTAATGTTCTTGGGGAAATTTTAAAATCAATTTAGTTTCAGTTCAGATAGAAATATGGGTTTACAACACATAAATCATCTAAGTGCTTGTTTTCTTTTCATTTTAACTAGAATTTTTATACTTGCAAATTAAAATACATTATTTAACTAACGTTACGTGTAAGTTTCAACCTACAAATCAACACAGCTGTATGTGTTCCTTAAATTAAATAAAAGAGGAAGTAAACCCTTTTCTTCCTGATTTGAGCATTTCTTGCACTCGAAACACTCACGATGACCATAATTTTGAAAAAAACCACAAACCTAAAGGGGATTTGAAAGTTTAAACTGCATTTCAACTTTGTTCAATTGATGCAGACTGTAACAAACCCAACTCAATCAAAATGGGAAAAAGTCAAACCAGCACACATGTACGTACCACCGTGACAATGTTTACGTACAATTATGGTCCGTCATACTAGGGTGTTTCCTGCGTGAATTCAATGGGCACACACGTATGTATGCACGGCGAAACGTTTTCATGACGACCACAGCTCATGGTACACCGCTTTCTGCTTGTAAGCGCCCTGTAAAAATCAATACTGATTGGCTCTCTGAAAACTTGTTACCAACCAATAAAAATACTAAACAGATTGTACCATGTACAGCAAAACTGCATGCGACATGCATGCACATTCAAGCATGTACAGTGTACATGCTATACATGTGTGCAGGGCTGGCTCACTGGTCCAAAAGCAGGCTGCACTCGCGATGATCGTATTTATATAATCATACGTCTACGTATGATAGTTGCTGTGGGATAAATGTGAAATTGTAAGTTACAAATGAATCTCACAGTTCTTTTTTGATGATATTATCCACAGTTTTTGTCATATCGTTCATTATTTGCAAAGTGCCTTTAGATTTTTTGAGGAGTGTGATTTTTATACACTCCTTTAGGAGTGTTGAGGAGTGCAGTGGCACCACCTACACTCTGAACTCCTTAAAATGATGGACTGGATAGGGTGTTCCAAAGAAACATTGTTCAGAGAAAAACTTAGCCAACATCTACAGCAGAGAAAGTAAAAACCTCCATGGAAAAGCTGGTGATTGTTCAAAAAAGTCACTAGTATGCCCGTAACACGATGAAGGATGTAAAAATGGAACAAAACTCCCTTTGTTGTGGTTTATTTTGCTGAATTTAAATCTGCTTGTTGGAATTTTCATAAAGCTGCAGTTTTGTAGATATTTGTGCTTAAAAGTAGACTCTCAAAAGTTCAAGATTTTAGCTTTAAAATGGGAAAAAACCAACAATTTCTTGTTTCCTCGGACTATTTTTAATTGATTCTGGCCCGTACTTTTTTAGCTTTATCAAAGACACATAGCTTCTAACTGAGACATTATGATGTACATTAAAGATGAGACATAACTGAGACATAAAAGGCAAATACAATGTACATTGCACATGTCTATCCCCAACTAAAATCTTCAACCAACCTTTGTTAAGTGATAAGGACATCTTTAAATTGATGTCATCTCTTTTAGATTCATTATGCAACAAGTTTTGCAGTAAATATCAATTAAAGATGCATTACACCACCAGGATGGATTGCTCACCCGTTTTTGGTAACTGTCTATCCACAAAATATTGGGTTCTTTCTTCCTCAAAATCCCACATTTACAGGCAACAACAGTTTCTCCTTCCTGTCGCAATCCTGGACCGAGTCGAAACCTTTTCCCTTCAGTTGAAATAATGACATCATTGAGGCAGTCTCCTGGTAAAACCCGACAGTTTTCTAAACGTTCTGAATCGAGATCCTCTGCTCTGGGAGGCGCCATGTTCTATGTATGGGAGATGTTACGCCCCAACTAAAGCATTAGTCCCAACTATAGTTGGGCCGACCCAACTACAGCAGCGCCTGTGAGCATCATGTGCCCAGCATGTGCCAAAGTCATATCGTTTACATATGTCATGTCATCGGTCATGTGGC